GATAATACGATACTTGCCCGTGCCAGCAATGACTATCGTTTGATCATCGTCAACGAAGAAACCAAAGGGTTGGTTGAGGTGATTGGTGGCATAATCTGTTGCATGACCACTAGCAACAGTAATCCCATTCTGTGTTCATCGAGCATCGACTGGAGTATTGGGAATCACTACAATGAACGAAAAACAAAAGGAATCGCCGTCATCGAGGAGACCCTTTTCTCTATCTCACGAAATAGTTTTCAAGAATGTCCTTGTCTCGCATACTCTAAACAAGAAAAGTTTCTCCAAGTAGATATACATTAGGAAATCTTTTTCTAGCGTCCCATAGTAAAAAGAACGTCGTAACCATTCTTATAGTTATACCTTTTTCTCGCATCTCAATCTTGTTCATTCCTTGAGACACCTAAGTAGAATCTATGACAATCTTTGTTTGCAGGAATTTGTTCAAGTTCTTGTCAAGATCTTTCAAATTCTAAGAAGTAGAATCTTCGCGGTAGATGCAAGCAACATCTGGAGAAAGACCAATGCTAATCCTCTTCAGGATCTCGATAGAAAAACAGAGGGATCTGAATCGTAATGGTGAATGAAGAATCTTTACAAGGTTATATGAAGGAATACTAGGAAGCTTAAATCGTTGAAGAGTTCAAGCAATGAAATAATGAACTCTAACAGATTCATAAACTGAAAAAACTCTGAGAAGATTTCAACAAGAACTTTTAGCGAGGATGTCAACAATGAGAATTTTGAATTCTTGGGAAAACAAATGTGCATCGTCCACAGTATGCATCTTTCAGAATGATTTTACGTAGTTCTGACCAAATTCATTTTGGCATAGAGGATTCAGGCGAAATTTTGTTAGGTTTTTGCCAGCTTATTTGAAGCTATTCGAAGGACGACTATGATGCAGTATTAGCAAGATCATGAAAAGGTTTTTTTTTATGCATTCGAAATTGAGGAAATGCGACAAGATTTCATGATGGAATCTTTGGAATCGGACGCCTTCTACTTTGAGATGCTAACAAGACTTATGCTAGTCTTTTCGGAGCTCTCGATCGGAAAACATAGGGATTTGTGGATATTATCCGTAATTTCGAAAGGGTGGATCTTAATGTGATAGTCTGAAAGAGTTCTACGAAACCATTATCAAGTTACCGTGAAAATTAGCTTCAGATCATTTTATTAGGATCTTACCGGATGTCACAAACGTTTTGCAAAATTTTGTGTTTTGAATAGATTGCAGTTCAGTCAAAAGATAAAATTTTGAATATATTTTTGACAGATACGTAAATCAATTCTCTACCAACTTGTATCAACCTTAACTTAAAATAATAGTGCTGAATGTGTTTAAAGATTAAATAGTTTGATCATATGCATTGGATTTATTTCCTATGCAATTTGTTTTAGTAAATTATTTTTTCTATACGAACGAATAGTTTATTTAAAAAAAAACAGATTTTTAAATAGTTCTTCAATACTTCGGAGAATCGCATATCTATTTAACATGTATACGCTTATGCGATTCTGTTTCGGTGTCTGATAGGAGATGTGGGTGTGGGTGTGAGTGTGAATGGGTAGGTGGGATGGGGGTGTGGATGGGTGGGTGTAGTGTGGATGCGGGGTAGGTTTGGGTCTGAATTAAGTTGCAGCCTGATATCCACCACCCCACTCACACCCTTACTCTGATCAAAATTCTGTATTTTTTTAGCTGACAGAAATTAAAATTTTGTACTAGTACTTAAAACTAATAAACTGATCATTGTACAATTATTACTGCTAATTTTAGTACTGATAGTTTAATATTTATAGTGATCATTTACATATTTTTTTACTGATCATATCATCTATTATACAGATCACTTAAATGGTAGCCATATTCAATCATGTATTGTTTTTTTTATTCTTTTTGTTTTCATTATATAATCTGCAAAACGTTAAAATGTTTATTCGTGCCGACATGAAAAACAAAACAATTTCATTAGCTCTGAGAAAAGTCGGTCCTCAAATAAATCAGTAACAGATTCTTAATACGAGAAGAATTAAAGGAGAAAATATCCAGAAAACTTTTCTGATCTGGCAAGTATTGGAAACATGAAACGAAAATATACAATGATAACTATGCTACATCACAAGTAAACTAGAGCTAACTTTTAACTTCGAGAAAAATAATACATAAATGCGTTAAACAAACAGATAATAGAAACAAGCATCAACTCATACACATATATGAATTTTCATATTTTTTATCATTGTTAAAAATTGACTTGCCATGCTGCGAAGAAATCAGAGTGGTCCTTAAATAAGTTTTCACATCTGGTGTGTTCATTTAATAGAAATAATCGGTAGAGCCTAGTGATTTCTAAAATAAGGATGTGGGAGTGGGAGGATGTGAATGTGGCTGTGGGTGGGGTGTGGATCTGAGTGTGGTCGTGAGAGAAGAGAAGGTAAACAGCTACACAGACCCCCATATCCACACCCACAATCACCCCACATTTCAACACTTACAGTAAATATACGATTTCATTGGGTGTTTCTAAAAAGTATACTTTCGTCAGAAAAAACAGTCAATCAAGTATCTCACAAACATGCAGACGGCAGATTTGCATCTCGCACAGCATTGAAGTTGCCCCAAAACACTCATCGATTTAATTGTGAAACATAACATATAATTCGTGTTTTTATTTGAGCAATAGCTGAGATCTCGGAGACAAAATGTTTCGATCAAGAAAGGCTGTCATTGATTTCTATTTGGGAGATATTTAGGGTTAGAAACGATTTTCACTGCTGTCATTGAACACTATAAGCATCCAGACGAGAGAAGTCTTCTTATTTATCTTATTCGTCGGTCAAACTTCAATAAAAATATGATTTCTATGGTCAGTGGGATGAGATACAATTTGGCTACATGTGAAGATAAAAAGTTTTTCAACCCATATGATCCTACCAGACCCTTGTACCTGAGATACTACTCCTAGGGTCGGAAAAAATTTTCCATATCAGATTCAAGCATATTATCTCTTATTCGATAGATCTCAACACTCTGATCACAAAAATCATATTTTTATTGAAGTTTGATCGAATAATAAGAAAAATAAGAAGACTTCTCGGGTCCAAGTGCTTATAGTACTCAATCACAGTAGCAAAAATCGTTCCTAGAGCTAAAGATTCATCAAAAAGAAAACAATTTCAGGCATTTTTCATCAAAACATCGTCTCTCAGAGGTCACAATTACTTTTAAAATGAAAACACGGGTTATTTCTTCTATTTCGTAATTAAATGAATGGATGTTTTGAAGCTGTATCCATGTTTTGTCAGCTGCAGATCTGCCTCCTAACTGCTGGTCAAATACCGGGTTTAATATTTTTCCTGATGAAAGTATGTTATTCAGAAAGAGTCGATCAAATAATGTATTCACTATAAGTATTGAAGTGGATGGAAGCTCTTTTATGAAATTACGCTCTATGCAGTCTTGGTGACCTGTTATATGTAACAGAAAATTCGAACCCGGGTTGGTGGATGTGGGTATGGCTTCAATGAAATCAATTTTACTTCCGCTTTCTATTTCTTGTGTTCTATTGATAGGTTATTAGTTAACATAAATTTTGATTTTTTTTCATCAATTCGTACATAATATTCACCTATACGGATAATCAAACAGTTAGAATAAATGCTGACTACCAATTCAAGGATTTCATTCTAATATAATAAGTTCCTTATTACATCGTAATTGAATATTATCTTATTTCTCCTACGACACGTTTTTCAACTAGAAGAAAAATTTGAAAGCCATTTATGTTAAAAATATTTGATTGGAGTCGTCTATACATATAAACAGAATAGTTTATGATATAGTTAACACTTAAAAAAACATGTTAGAATTTCAAAATTGTATATTTTTACACGGTAATTGTATGAATGTTGTTGTATATTTTAAAACAAATCAACGATGAATATAGGAGAGTATGTTTTGACTTATAAAAAACCTGGAAACTAGAATGTATTTTAAAGTGTTAAAAAAATCTGGTTGGTCTTTCAAAATAAAAGTGCATATTTTAATAGTCGACATATCAAATCAATACCAATTACTGCAACTTAAAGTTCTCTGACTCAATCTTAAAATCATATCTACATGTGTAGATAATCAAACAATTAGGACAATTATAAGTACTTCAACCATACTATTAAACATTTTAAAGCCTATTATTAGCTTGGTAGTGTAAAATACAAACTTTAACAATCACCAGTTGCAAAACAAGACGTTGACAACGGAACAGATTATTCATTCTGAATAATCTCTGTCTGCTAGATATATGCTAATACATAGACATTAGGATCTATTCGTCTAGTAAATGATTTGATCAAAATGCCGAATAAGATTGAAATTAAAGAAAAGTTATATTGTGATAAAAAATTTTTCTAGCGATTCTAATGATGCTAATATTCATTTTTTAATCAATGCGAATCAAATATTTATAACGAGCTATTTTCATAAATGTTTTTGAAAATAATACAGCAGTTTGGTTTTACATGACCGAACATGGATTCAGTCAAGTTAGTTTAAGATTAATGAGACAAATCTACCCGAATTTCTTTCAACTAATATATAACAATAAAAACACATGTATTTGCAGCTGTCATGTTTATTGTATAATTTTCATATGAATATAGTATATACATGAGTTTGATTTAGATCCAACAGAATAAGTTTTTTTGAATGAGCTATCGTGCGAATAATAAAGAAATTACAGTGAACAACACAAATTGAACTTTTGTCCTAATACACTTGTTTAATTCTCTTACACATGTGCATAAAACAAAAAGCAATCAGTACTATCAGATAACAAGTATAGAGATTTGAACATGAAATTTACTACGCAAAATTCATGTCAAAGAGTCTTTTATTGATAAATAGCTTAACTATTGATAAATTATGAACAATGCAACAAAAAAAATCGATTATTGGACAGATAGAAGACAAGACAAGCAATATGAACATAGTCTACTTAATGCTGTTCAATATTTTCAACAATCAATGTTGGTATTTCTCTACGCTGTTCATTATTATTTGTTGTAGCCGGTTGAGGAGTAACTTGATTGTTGTTCATTTGATTCATCCATTGTCGCCATCGATTCAGATGAATGTAAATGAGTACATAGATGAGTTGTTTACGAAAACGTTTCGACACACAACAATAAATATAAAATGAACACTAAAAAGAAACAAATATTCGATTTCTTTACTGAAAACAATACTAACCGAAAAACCTCCAATATAGATAAAATTTACAATTGCAGTAATACGTTGATTGCGGGCAATACTATCAAAATCTGTCGGATATGTATTTAGTGAATAAATATAGAAGATTAATCGAGGTAGAGTTAGGATCACAAGGAATATCACTTGAAAAAGTACCATAGCAGTGAGTTGGCGATCGTGACTCAAACGAATAATATGAACTTGACGATAAGCCAAGCGTCGGACACTAAGAAAGGCAAGAAGTGCAAATGTAGTCATAATGATAATTGGTAAAGCTTCCGTAAGAACCGATAAATGAAAGTGAGAATAATAGCGAGCAAAGTGTATATTGATGATTCTGCATACACCAAGTGACGAATCATAATAGATAAGAAAAAGAATGCAATATCCAAGCCAAAAGGCACTAACAAGAATCATGTGACGATAAGCTAATTTCAGCGTGCTCCAAAGTGGACGAGTGACTGACAAAAATTGATCGATAGTTGCTAGGCACATACTACTAGACGAAATGAGATTACAAAACACTGTCAGAAACAAAGGAAGTTTGCAAAACCATGAATTAATGGCTGGATTGATTTTGAAGCCAAAAAGGAGAATACGTATGAATGCTCCAAAGAGTAATTGGCCAATATTAGCAATCGAAGTTACTGTCAAATAAAATCCAGAAGCAGTGTCTCGAAATACTCTAAGTGTTGTAAAGACAATAATATTGAGAAATCCTCCTATGAAACCTGTGATAACAATAAAAAAACCAAAATAGATATTGAGTTGTTGTGATGCAAACTGAAGTGACGTGGCACTTGACGGAGACGACATTAAAGGAGTTCGTAGTCTAAAAAGAAGAACATAGAATGTCAGAATTTTTTTTGAATTATTTATCTCTCGATGATTTAGATATACTACATTGCCAAAGCTTTCTTATTTTTCTTTATTCTACTTGACATTTTAATCAACATCTATAAGTGATCTATTTTCGAGAAACACAACGTTTTCCAAAAAAAACCTGAAATTTTCGTTAATACGGAATGAAATAAACGGCTTGAAATACTTTAGGTAAGGGTAATAAATGTAATACATTCTAGAAAATGAAACATTGATTAAAGGCTAAGCCACGCAGAACGAACTTGTTTATTCAAGGTATACATAGAAAACTGATTAGTACATGCATTTATGTCACTTTCAGATTTAATTGCATCATTAGCGTGAACATAGTTTCGTCTCATTATGCTCATGATTAAATAGAAACATACGAAAATTAAAAGAGAAAAATTGATAGTCTTGTGAACACAACTCAATTTACATATTCGCATAGTAGACCTCTCGTATTTATTTATTATCTCGAAAAAATGAAATCGAATCGCGAATCATAGTTATGCCCTAGTCAAACGATACAAAAGCAACTCATTCAGTGTAATCATTATTTTTTTTTCTGCGCTATTAAAGCTGTTTGAATTTCTTCAAGATAGCAAGACCAAGAGTGAAATACTCTTGTCCGCATACATCTAAACTTCTACGTAAGTTGCTTTCAAAAAAAAGGTAAGCGAAATTAAATGGTCTTCTATTCAAAAAAACAACTCATTTCTTTGCTTCTGAATACAAGATAACCCATTGTGAAGTGTTTCGATCCGATATAATCGAAGCTTTTTCAAATTTTGAACATCATAGCTATTTTTCTTCTAAAAATTTACTTTTATGCTATATAGCAGTCCTTTCAATCTTTCTTTGTTTCCTTATCACAAAAATATCTTTATAGAGAAGATTTAGCTGAATGCATCATATACACTTCAAGATAGTTTAGTCAGTAACCCTAAGAAAAAGTGTATCCTTAGCTAATATCAATGCTCGAGCAGGCATACCTTTTTTCCTTTCAAACTTAATTGTTTCTATTTTACTCAAAAATCCACTATTCTCTGTGTCTAAAATACATGCAAACGGACAGATGGACTTACAACTTTGAAGTCCTTCTTTTGATATAAATATAAATATATATATATATATAAACTGCCTCAATAAGGAGACATTACATCTCAAACAAAAGTAGGCTACGTTTAAATAACAGATATATGTGACAGATTTAATTTAGCTCGTTTATCGTATTTGCGATGCGATGTGTATATTGGAGATATTTAGCATATATAAAAAGTATTGATAGTGGTAATCTAATTCCATATAAAAAAGTTTAACAAACTTCTATGATATGCTGGCTGATAGTGAAAATAATGCCGTCTTCTTCTGCATTATCGTATCATTCCTTAACTAATACCATAATAGTAACATTTCAGTAAAATCTATTTGGTTATTATGTGTGACAATTACATCAGTCCACATTGCCTTCGATTTGTATACTCTTCTGATTTTTTTCGTCGTTTCTCTTTTTGCATGTTTACATGTATTGAGGTATAGCAAAATTAGTGATGGTGAAAAAAAAGAAAGAAAAAAAGAAACAAGTAGTTCGTGCTTCGTCTTTGCCCTCTTATCAACTTTCACGAAACCACTTGAATCATTTTTCGAGTATCCCAAAAAAAGAAACTTCGCCATCATCACAAACAGAACATAATTAATCATGAATAATTTTTACTTGAACATGAAATGAAGTGCACACTTTAATGTAGAAGCAAAAAGTTTTTTTCAATCCTCTAAAACACAGACGAGCAGCATCAATATTTAATCGAACTTGTTTCTTTATCTTTTTTGAGAATAGGCTAATAGACAGACTGCAGATCCAAAAAGAAAGAAAAGAGAAAAGAAGAACAAAGAGAAGATCAGAAGAGTATACATAACGAAGACAATGTGAACTAATATAACCGTCACACACGATAGTCAAACAGGTCTTACTGAAGGATTATCATTGTTGTATTAGTTGAAGAATAACGTGATAACGCAGAAAAAGAGAACGACGTTTTTATCCGTAGTCCATCTAGAGTATAATTTTCTTTGAGCTTTTTATAAGAAATCAAATTACCACTGTCACTACTTTTCGTATGTTCTAATTTAGTAGATATTTACTACCCTCGTTAACATAGCATACGAATATAATTGTGTGAAGAATTTCAAGATTACTTTTGTCTTCATAACTAAGAAGAACAGGAGCAGATAGACAAGACAGAATAAGGAAATTCAATCACTAAACCCGCTAACAATGTACAAACAAAACAATTGAACGCAATTTGATGAAAGAAAAAGAGATGATAATGAGACAAACTATATATACTAATGAGTGATAGATAATGTCAGTCACGTTAGCATAGACATACGATGGTGACTTCTGACACGCATCTCTTCAATATGACTCGAGTGTAATTACACGAGAGCAGCAAATAATATAAAACTAATGAAGAAAAAAAAACAAAGAAGGGACCATTTTCTCATCAAACAAAATTTGCTAGATAATCCATGACAACTGTACTTGAACAATTAATATAGGTCAAACTTCGATATACATGTAGATTTGATGAGATGAACGACAAATGTAAAATGTGAGCTGCGAAAAGATTAGATCACAAAAATATCTGCTTTGCAAGAAGTTTGACACCGGTGCCTGTATTTCGACAAAGTATAAACTCAAATATGGACGATGAAAGTCTTTTCATCATAGACACGCCAATTCTCTAACTCAAACTACTTGATATAGGTTGATACAATAAATAAGTGAGACGCTCCAATTAAGACCATACGATTTGCACATGAGTTGTCTCATTCGAGTATGAATGGAAAGCTAACGATCTACTATGGCTTAGAAAATAAATGAAAACTAAACGGCTTTTCTGTTGTAATAGAAAATGACAAAAGCAACATATAAGTTTTATATCAACTATAAATGTAGAAATTGAATAGCACACTTTTGTTGAAGCAACTAAATGGAATCAAAGATAAGTTCTATATAAATTATAAATTTCTTAATTGAATAGAACACTCCTGTGCAAGCAATGAAAGAAATGCGAAAGATAAATTTTTTATCAATTATAAATTGAATCTAAAACAAAGCAAAAGATAAATTATACATATATTACAAATTGAATAGCACACTTTTGTTGAAGCAGTTCGATAGAGCAGAAAATAAGTTCTATATAAATGATGTATTTCTTAATTGAATTAAAAACTTTTGTTCAAGCAGCATATAAAAGGAAAAGATAAATTTAATGTAAATTATAAACCTATAAATTGAGTCAAAGACTTCTACCGAATCAGCAAAAAAAATTAAAAAAATAAAAATTCAAGCCATATTGTAATTATAACCAATACCAGCTAATCTCACCTTAGATGCTCGAGAAACCGTCTGAAATGTTACGGTAAACACAAGTGATCCTATACTGATCGTCTGGGATGACATGACACTTGTGGGTTGGCTTGAAATGCTAGTAGCACCGCTCGACTTACTACGAGTATCTCAGTTGTTGCTTGTGACACCTAAAACATCAGAGATAGCATTTTCCATAGGATTCTAAGAGCTAGATTGAGTAAAATACTCAGAACTCTAAAAATGCTAACTTGATGCTGACATCTTGGCGTTAGTTAATTCTAATGCCAATAATACTGAAGCATGGATATTCATCTATAGTAATAATACAAAGGCATTAACATTTTGTAAACGATACTACTACGACATTCTTATATTGTGTGCATTCAGAACAGCCACGAGTTATGCTTTCCTCTATGTACACAGTGAGAAGAATAGTTCCAATTCGAGTCATAATGCGAATTCAAATAAAAATTTGAATTTTTGTGATTTTTTTGCTATTTCCACGGAGAAGTAGCTTTTCCAATTTTTCATTTTTACTCAAACTCGGATTAGGCACATATTCTCTTTGCACTGATATGTTTAGTTCAACACATTTGTTCTTTCTTCTGCTGTTGGCCAAGACTTGTCAAATTTCAGCTTGGTTATATCTAGAGTGGCAATTTTCATGCATTCTTCTGAATAGTTCAATTTTATACGGAATTTTGTATTGATTCGTCAGTATGTGCAAATAAAGGTGATCTTTTCTTGCCTAAACTATCTATCATCTATGCTTTATGAAGACTTATCCTATTGAATTAATTCATATAATATAGATTCATGCGATAGAGAAAACAAAACAAACATTCATTAACCGATATAAAAAGGAAGGCAAATGAATAATGTCGACGTCGAAAGAATCAGCAAAACTCAAGTTTTATTTGAATATTGTAAGCAGCTTTCAACACAAGTCCGGTGAGATTCAAATGTGTAACATGATCAAGCTATTTTTATTGTAGAAAAAGAGCATGTCGACATACTG